CGCCGCGCCACGCGATCAGGTTGCCGCGCGCGGTGACCTAGTTTCGCGGTGACTCCTGGCCGTCTCCCCAACTTCCCGGACCTCCCTCACCCGCTTGACTGCAGTTTTCTTGAAAAGACCGAGATAATTTCTGGAAAATCGTTAGAGTTTGGAGACCTTGTGACGACCATAAATGGGACGGAGAAGGGGTGGGGGGGGCGTAGTGAAAGAGGAAAGGGCGCTGTTTGGCTTGGGAGGAGCATCTCGCACATGCGCAAACTCCTTTTGCTAGTCCAACTTAATTAACAGGTTACATTGCGATGAGACCTGTAAATTCCTGTAACGCTTCTAAATGGTAAAGTGAGCCATTTGGTTGCAGGAATTTACAGGTCTACTCAAGGTGGTTGACAGGTTTTAACATTGCGGCGCGAAGAGCTTGCTTCAGATCACAAGAGTTCACAGGTTTCACCAGTGGCGGAACCGAACCCTTAAACCGGAACTGGCGAACCAGCGAAATTGCAAAATGCCTCCCTTGGTCGCCAAAGTGCGCCCATTTTTTTACATTGAAGCAGTTTTTACGTTTCAGAGGTCAAATGCTGGTAACTATGTAGCATTAAGTGTGGTGATATTGCTGCTGTTTTGTGTGCTGCTATTCACAATCATCACATTGCTACATGTCTTTAAAGTGTTGGACTTCATTCCGGTGCTACTACCACCTCCAGGATGTCATACGAAAGAGATGTAATTGAAGTGATGTCATCATGTGCTACATCTATACAACACGTTAATTGCATAAATAATACATTGGATGATGCAGATTATATATTGATCACAGAGTAAAACGCATTCAATGGAATCGATCTTCATTGTAACAAAAAATACGCAGCTCAATCCATCTTGTTCTTGCAAACTTCGCCATTTGCACCAGACCACCTCGGAACACTGCCTTTACCCTGGTCCTTTTGTTGGCCGAGAACTTTGATCAACCTTTTTGTCCAATCTCGTTTCGGGTTTCTTGTCGGGGGCGTGGTTCAAGTTTCAAGTCGTCCGGGGCAAAGGGTGTGGAACGTTATGCACAGCTATTTCGGCGAAGTAGACCTTGTAAGCGGCTCAATAGCTAACAAACTGTATTACCCCCGTGGATAGTGCGTCTGACCATGTGGGGGAGAAAGGGTCCGGAGCTGCAGTAGTGTGTCACCTTCTTCGCTCAAAATTGGACGGGAGCGGGGCTGAAGGGCAATGATATCCGGGTGCCGTTTCCATAGTCCGCCTGCGTTGCCGCACGGCCAGCCTCACACCTAACCATAGCCGAATGCGCTACTTGTCTGCGTTCTTTCACTTCTGATTGTTTCTGCTGAGTACGTGCTCCGCCGCTAGACTCTGGATCGCTCCGCCTACAAGAGCATGCCACGCTTTGAGAGTTCGCATATTTTTTTCGCGACCGTGACGAGTGCTTGTAATAAGTTGCACCATCATGGAGCATTCCGTAAGGCAGGATTTCCCGGGTTCGGCGCCATTGACCTCTGTGGTAGTGGCAATTCAAGCGGACGAAAGTGGCACATTACAGCGGTTGCAGGTCCATTTGCCTCGCATATCACAAGGACCATCTTCAGAGGTGAGTGTAGGTCTAAGAAGCCTGTTCGGCTTGATGGCGGAGGGGGGGGGGTCACTGACCCCACCCACCTCATTCTTTGTTGCTTGTAATCCTTATTCAGATAAGCTACGAGAAGTTTTATAATCTTTTATGCAGTACGAAATGCAACAGTACCGGTAATTCTTAGGTTTGACACAAATGGTATTTTATCAGTGAACGTATGCTTAAGATAAGAGACATTGCTGAAATCCAGCCGAGATCAGCTAGATGGCATCTACACTAAAATTTAAAAGAATACCCGCAACAAAATATTTCAAAACAAAGCAACAGTTTTGGCACAAAAAAACGGAGAGAATCGGAGACCGCAGAAAAATTTTCCTAAAGGTTCTTTAATATAGTGTAGTTCGCTGCGGACGGTTGGGCGTGTCAGGCGGGATGAGTTTGGCGCGGTGCCAAACCCGTTCTCCACCAGTTGTTAAAGCGAGCAAATGATATGACTGTATCATATCGTTCGTATTACTCGTTTTCTACCACTTTTTGCGCTTCAGCAAGAAGGCAGGAAACGGTTTGACGGCTTGGCACACTCATAGTGCCTGGCACGCCCAACCGTCCACAGCGAACTAGAGTATAATTACAACTGTGGACGAAAATTGCTAACTAGATCCATATTGCGCTAATATAGCAATATTTATCAGTGAAAACTGTAGAGAAGGCAAATGGAATACGTTTTGGAACAATTTCAGTCTATAGAGAAATTCGGAGCCAGGGACACATTGAGTCATCATCACTAGTGTGTCCTCTCCTTTCTATCATTCTACTGAACGAGAGTGATTTACAGTTGATATCGTCACAATCGGTAAGTTACAAAACATCTGTCAACCGGATGCTCTCGCTGCGATGGTCCGCGGGTGTTTCTTCATCGCATCTTCTGGGCGAGCATTTAGAGGAAGGGAAATAAGAGGAGGGATGAGAGAAGGAAGGAAGAAAAAGAAGAAGGTGAAGGGAAAAAGGCAGGAGTAGGAAGGCTTCGCGGTTGACAGATATCTCGAGACCCAATCATTCAGGGCAATGTCGAGGCGGAAGCCAGCATCCAACTGCCTTTCTCCGGGTATGTGACAAGAGAATCATGATTCGCCGCGCTGGTGGGCGTCGCGTGCGACGTCGCGCCCGCAAATGACGATGGTTCCAGGTAGTAGATGGCGACAACAGGCAATTCAGAACCGAAAATAGTCATGAATGTCTACGATGACGGGGTCTACATGAAGTCCGGTGCTCCAGTCGACAGGTTAACACGAGTTAAGAAAACGCCGCGCCCATCGCCGCGCGGCGCGGCGGAGGGCATGTTACCACTCTTTTGCCCGTCTCCCCCATTTTCTCCATTGGTTATCGATTTAGGACAACAAAAACCAGTAGTGGAAACGCCGCGGGTAAGCTTCATCCTATACTTACTAAAACCGCTCGGACTGATTGTGACGATATCAACTGTACCAGTGAGGGAAGTGTGCCGATATGCCTTACTCTGGCCAAATGACCTGCGCGGATTCTGCCTTGAATAATTTGGATCATCGACCCAGTGATCGACTTTCATCTTCTTGACGGAAAAAGCGTTTCGACTTAAGAACCATGAACAGAGTCGCATTTCAGCAACCTGCCGGTCTCTCTTTGGTTCTTTCCTGTTCCATTGGAGCTGTTAATTCCCGTTTCCCCTCTCCCACTGCGATGGCTATTTTTCTGGGGTTGAACGGGAGAATTTCTCCGGAAGAGTGTTGAAAATTGGGATGAATTCGGGGATATCGACGAATGGGAGAAGGGAGATCGTATCAGAGGAGGAAACTTTCAAAGGAAGATGGTTGTATTTTCTAGAACTCTCCATCAAAGGGCAATATGTGCCTGCACCCTTCCCACCCCTCCCAACCTGTCTAAAGTGCCCAGCAACAAATTCTGAATGTCTTATGGATGGCACATGTTTGCTCCTATGAACAGTAAAGTTTTCGGAAAGCTGCTCGGAAATCTCTTGAGAAGGCTGCATACAGAAGCGGATTGACCGCTGAATTAGAATAGCCGAGCCAGAAGGCGATCACATACATTGTGTGTAATGAGTCCGGCATCAACAGAAGTGAATATGACTAAAAACAGCGCAGATATTTTATATATATTGCTCCTATTTCTTGGATATTTCGCAGATTTTTCCTTTTTTGAATTTCTGCAATAAAAACAGTCAAGGATCTATTACAAACCTGAAGCACGTAAATGGTACTGAAAGGAATCCAACAGATCACAAAAACGCCAACGACGACAGCTGTCGTACGAGCTACTCGTAATTCAGTTCGTAGTGAGGATCGGGCCCGAGTGCGATCACTGAAAAATGATGT